AGTGTATTTTCGTATGGTATTTATTGTTGTATTCTAGTTTTCTTGGTCTCATTTTATAGAATGGAAGACATATTACAGAAATTGAGATGATTTTGACTGGTTTTACAATGAAAGGTGCCTTGAAATTGAGCTCAAAGTAGCAGAAATGTTCGATTTTTACCAAACTTCAAAAGTAAACAAATCGTGCCAAGCGTGCAATACACGTCAACTGGTGAGTCTAATATTCTTTCAACAAGTGCACCAATAATATTTATACCATTTTTTACACTAATGCAGTAGTCTGCATAACAGTAAATCTTATATTTTTTTGTGAGAATAAAAATTCAAAGTGGAAAGCAAAAGAATATAAGAGGGGCCTCGAGACGTGACTAATGACTAGAGGAAATGTCATTTTAGTGCCAGGAATGTCTTTCTTGTTTATTCTGGAGCCTATTCGGAAATTGGCATCTTTTGAAATTTGTGTGAAATTGGCAAAATTGCTAAATTCTGACCACTGTACTGGATAGTTGAATTTCATAAATGGGTGGTTTCTTGCAACCATTCCATAGAAAAAATGGAGTTCTAGCGAAATATTCATGTTTTTTGTCGACTAGTACAGTGAAATTGGCCGAAAATGGGGCTCAAAGTGGGCAAAATCGCCGATGCGTAAACATCGCCGAGACCGCTAACTTTGCGAGAGCATAATTCCGTAAGTTTTCTATCAAATTTCAAACTTTTGGTGTCTTTATGATCGGGAAAAGATTCTCTATCTTTTCATAAGAGAAAATAATTTTTTTTTTTTTTAAAATTTGTCCAACCCTGAGAACGAGTTTCGGAGAGGGCCTGTCGACCCTCAAAGGGTTAAGTACAGGTATACATAAGTATAATTATCAGAGTATATATAAAATATGAAATAACTTTTAAAAACATTTGAAATTTTGGAGTTTCCAGACAAAATGGAGAGACTTAGTGCTTACTGAGCTCACGAAGAATGTAAACAAACATGGTGGGGCGCGGTGACCGTATTAGAAAGTCAGGTGGGGGGAGCCGTATAGCGAGTTTTGGTCATAATTTGAAATGACCGTATTAGCGGAACGCCGTAAAGTGAAACGCCATAAAGCGGGGCCCTGCTGTATATATATATATATATATATATATATATATATATATATATATATATATATATATATTATATATATATATATATATATATATATATATTTTTCAACAAGTTAATGTTGCAGTTTAAAAACTGTAGTGTAAAGCACCCTTCTGGCAAGACAGTGATGGAGTGAATGATGGTGAAAGTTTTTCTTTTTCGGGCCACCCTGCCTTGGTGGGAATCGGCCAGTGTGATAATAAAAAAAAATAATAAAAAATTTGTACTTTTTTTCCATAATATGAAAATTTAAAAAATGTAATAAAAAATATTAACATGGCACATTTGTTGTGACATGAATTTGTTGTGACATGAAAATCACATTATTATCAGAGGTATTTGAGCCTACTAAAGACTTTAAATTTTATGAAAATCCTTGAAACAATCCCTAGCTGGGTTTAGACATAGACTGACCTGGTATAACACACTGTAGTGGCTAAGTAGATCCTCTTGTCATTGTTGCTGCATAACTTACATGAAAGCCTCTCTATAAAATGGCCAGTGAGGTAGTGTTATGTCATATCTCATTATCATGAGGTCTTTTTGCATGCTGATATCGGAAAACAGTTGTCATTTCTATCTGATTTCTGCTAACAAAGTCATTTGACACCCACTTGAAGCATTTGAAGACATTGGAGATGGTCTCAGGCTCAGGCTCAGATTCCACTTCCTCTACAATGTCCTCATCAGTGTCAGTTACATCATTATCATCTCCTGTGACATAATTCCTTCTTCTTTGAGCTTTTGATCCATGAAATAATTTTCATTGAACTGAAATGACCAGAAAATGTGAAATGAGCATGCCAAATTAGCAAATCTTCATAAATTAATGAAAATTTTTGCTTAAAGTCAATTGCATGCAGTTGTTAGTTATAAATGATGCATAATTTCACCATTGTAGGGCAAGGCATTATATATGATGCCTTCATTGTCACAGATTATTTCACCATTGTTGGGCAAGGCATTGTATATGATGCCCCTTAATTTTTACATAAATTTAAGTGTGCACATTTCTTACTTATCAGTGACACATTTGCATCTCAAAATGATGTTCATACATTCAATAAAGCGCTAGAAATGCATTCAGTAACTTACTGACATTCTGGAGTGGTGAAAATTGATGAAATATCCAGAGTGTGAGGGTGATACTGAGCACTTCAGGTGCTTCCAGCCAATAGCAATTGGCAGTTCAAAAGCTGCTCACTGCTCAAGCTCTGCCCGGAAGGTTAGTGATTGATAGGAACGAAGCCTGTGATTTTTGTGGCATCTTGAAAACCGTGCTTTTTTTGGTATTGTGTGTTGCCTTGCCCAACAAAGGGTGCACATGCAAAATAACCACTTGGAAAAAATAGAGAATTGGAATTGGAAATTCACTATTTTTTCATGGTGGTTATTTTGTATATTGTGATATCACCTGTTTACTGTGATCTTATTGTATTAATGAGTATATTTATTGATATATAACACATTTCAGGAATGGCTTATGCACTGCTTGCTGGGCTGCCTCCCATTGCTGGCATATATATGGCATTTTTCCCTGTTCTTATATACGCATTACTGGGCACTTCACGACATTGCTCGATGGGTAAGTTTGTTATTTTCTATCATCTTCAATACACAAATAACCAGCACATAGGAGACTCAAACTTATAATGACATTTTGGTCTGACTTGGTCCATTAACTGATTACATAGTCACAGCAAAACATGGTCATAGGTTTCATTCTCCTTCGTGCAGGCTATTTATGTATTGCTCCTGTCACAGTATTGTGTCTTATTTATTTCATTATGCTATGGTGATTCTTTTAATTTACTCTTCATTATGTAATATTGATCCACTGTGATAGGTTTCTGGCTGATCTGCAGTGTATAAAATATATTAAGAAGAAAGAAACACTGGTGAAGCTGGAGGTGCTGTCCTGGGAGACAGTAATGGTGAAGCTGGAGGTGCTGTCCTGGGAGACAGTAATGGTGAAGCTGGAGGTGCTGTCCTGGGAGACAGTAATGGTGAAGCTGGAGGTGCTGTCCTGGGAGACAGTAATGGTGAAGCTGGAGGTGCTGTCCTGGGAGACAGAAATGGTGAAGCTGGAGATACTGTCCTGGGAGACAGTAATGGTGAAGCTGGAGATTTTGTCCAGGTAGTCGGGAATTATACGCAGGAAGGAATACATATAAATGACCTCATAGGGGACAGGAGCCATAGTAGGGAAACAAGTGTAGTCAAAGATAAGATAAAACCAATATTGCAAACTAGAAATACCGCAGGAAATAGCAAACAAGAGGACTCCAATAGCAATAGTGAGGATAAATTACCAAAAACAACTGGTGGGAGCTCCATTGTTGGTGCTAGGGAGGATAGAAGTAAGACAGGGAAACATGCACCAACAGGGAATACAGTCACAGAAACCCAAGGCAAGCAGAAACCAAGCCTGTGCACATACTATGCACTTGGTATCTGCTGGCATGGGAAATCTGGAAAAACAGATGGGACGTGCAACTATGACCACCCTAGAAAATGCCATGCCCATATGACAACAGGAAAATGCAAACTCCCTTCCTGTAAGCTTTTTCACCCTGAAATGTGTACCTCTTCAGTACAGGAAAGACTGTGCTATAACTTAAATTGCCAGGCATACCATCTAAAGGGGACAAAAAGATACAAAACATCCAGGCCATGGGAAAACCTGGGTAGCCACAGCCACTCAAGAGGGAGAGGTTTTTTAGTGCCAGGAAGGAAAAAAAACTGGCAGGAAATGGCAGAAATCGTACACCAAATCCAGTCATTCCTGGAGTGGAACCACAGTCGATGGCCTCCACTCCAAACCAACAGATACAGATACTAATGCCGGAAAAAAAATCCCCCCCAGTACCAACAATACCACCAGTCCGATAACATTCTTCTTTGCAAATATACAGGGTCTAAAGCCAGCAACAAACAACAAAATACCTTTCATCCGTGGACTGCTTGCAGAGGCAAAGGCAATGTTCGCGGCTTTCACTGAGACCCACATAAAGGATCACTTGGACAATGAAATATGGATCCCAGGTTACAACCTATACAGATGTGACAGAGTGAACAGGCAAAAGGGGGGGGTTGGCCTGTACATTGCAGAGTCACTTGTTTGCACAGAACTGCTTAATGCCTCAAATGACGTAGTGGAAGTTTTAGCAGTAAAGGTCGAGAACCAAAACCTAGTCATTGTGGTAGTCTACAAGCCTCCGGATGCAACATCCCAGCAATTCCAGGAACAGCTGTTAAAAATTGACCACTGTCTGGAAAATCTTCCAGCTCCTGCACCCAACATCTTGCTCCTGGGGGATTTCAACTTAAGGCACCTAAAATGGAGGAATATAGCAAATAATATTGTTGCAGTAATAACACCAGGAGGCAGCTCTGATGAAAACTCACACTCACACGAGCTTTTAAATCTCTGCACAAAATTCAATTTAAACCAGCAAATAATAGAGCCTACTAGACTGGAGAATACACTAGACCTCATATTCACTAACAATGATGATCTGATAAGAAATGTCACCATATCAAAAACAATATACTCAGATCACAACATAATTGAGGTTCAGACATGTATGCGAGGAGCCCCAGACCGACAAAATGAGACTAGTCACGAGGGAGCATTCACCAAATTCAACTTCAATAACAAAAACATAAAGTGGGACCAAGTAAACCAAGTCCTAACCGATATAAGCTGGGAAGATATACTAAGCAACACAGACCCCAACTTATGCCTAGAACAGATTAACTCGGTGGCACTCCCCCTCCATAAAGACTTAAGGTAGCAAAGCCTTCTCTGGGGTTACTTCCCTTCTTTGTCTTTTATTGCCACTAGGACCAGCTTGAGAGTCACTGGACCCCTGTCTCACAAAATAACTGTCCAGAGTGCTCTGTTTCTGGCATCTCTTTAAGATTTCCCTGAAGTGGGTCAGGGTTTTGTCACTAAACATGTTGCAGATATGGCTTGTTTCAGCTTTGTCAGGGTAGTGTTTCTCTACAAAAGCTTGCACCCTAGTCCACATTGCACGCACCTCTTTAATCTCTGAAGAAGGCACCTCCTTCACTCCCTCTTCCTCCTTCTCTGAAGCAAGTTCCTCAACTGCAGTCTGTTGCTCTTCGAGATGAAGCTCTTGCAGTTATTCAGTGGTTAGCTTTTCCCTGTGGTCCTCCACCAACTCTTCCACATCCTCGCTACTCACCTCCAACCCCAGGGACTTTCCCAGTGCCACAATAGAGTCAATAGGGTCGGCAGGGTCAGGGTCAGCCTCAAACCCTTCAGAATCCCTCTCTTGGACACAATCTGGCCACAGTTTTCTCCAAGCAGAGTTCAAAGTTCTGGAAGTCACTCCCTCCCAAGCCTTACCTATAAGACTTATGCAGTGGAGGATAGTGAAGTGATTCCTCCAGAACTGTCTTAGGGTCATCTGAGTGTCAGAGGTCACTTCAAAGCACGTTTGAAACACTGCTTTTGTGTAGAGTTTTTTGAAGTTAGAAATGACCTTCTGGTCCATGGGCTGGAGGAGAGGAGTGGTGTTAGGAGGCAAGAACTTAACTGTCATGAAACTAAAGTCCCTAAGCACTTGATCTTGCAAGGCTGGAGGATGTGCAGGAGCATTGTCCAGTAACAGGAGGCACTTGAGTGGCAATTTCTTTTCCAGGAGGTATTTTTTCACACTTGGGCCAAACACATCATCAACCCACTCTTTGAAAATTTGCCTTGTGACCCATGCCTTATGATTAGCTTTCCACATCACACACAGTCTATTCTTTATGACATCATTTTTCTTGAACACTCTGGGATTTTCTGAGTGATACTCGAGTAAAGGCTTCACTTTGAAATCCCCACTAGCATTACCACACAACAAAAGAGTAAGCCTGTCTTTCATAGGCTTGTGTCCTGGCAGTGCCTTTTCCTCCTGGGTAATGTAGGTCCTGTTTGGCATTTTCTTCCAAAACAGGCCTGTTTTGTCACAATTAAACACCTGTTGGGGTTCGAATCCTTCAGCCTTTACATAGTCCTGGAATTCGTAAACATACTTTTCAGCTGCACATTCGTCAGAACTTGCAGCCTCTTCATGCCTTACAACACTGTGTATGCCACTATCCTTCTTAAATCTATCAAACCATCCTTTGCTGGCCCTAAATTTACAAACTGCCACACTTGTTCCAGGCATTTTCTTTGCAAGATCTTCATGCAACTGCTTTGCCCTCTGACAAATGATCAACTCCACAACACTGTCTCCCACTAATTCTTTTTCCTTAATCCACAATAATAATAACTTTTCCATCTCTTCCATTATTGGTAGCCTTTGTTTAGTTAGAAAAGCTACTCCTTTTGCTACATTAGCATCCTTGATTTGTTCTTTCTTTGCCAGGATGGATGTAATTGTTGATTTATTCTTGCTGTACATCCTGGCAAGTTCCATCACCTTCATACCACTCTCAAACTTTTCTATCACTTCATGCTTAAATTTCATGATGTTTCTCACTTTCTTTACCATAGGAACTTTACTAGGAACTTTCTTTGGAACCATCTTTACTTATTTCACAGTTGCACTGCAAGAAAAACCATTAAAAACAATGGTAAACAAGTGAAATGTTTGGATGTATGAGCAGAAGCTTCCTCGGTCACCGAGAGACAAAGCCAAACTGAAGCGCAAGCTGCCCCAGCCGGTGGATGGACACGTCCAAAATGGCCGATAACCGAGCGAACAGCCGATAACCAGGCGCCGAAAAACCCGCCGATAACCGAGTTGGCCGATAACCAAACCGGTCAATAACCGGGGGTCCACTGTACTCGATTGTACTTCATATTGTAAACTGTTTACTGTAATTTTTAACACTGACCCTTTCATTGCTTGGTGCTACTATTTAATAAATGTATGGAAGAGGGTAAGGTACCTAGGGATTGGCAGAGAGCATGCATAGTTCCTTTGTATAAAGGCAAAGGGGATAAAAGAGAGTGGAAAAATTATAGGGGAATGAGTCTGTTGAGTATACCTGATAAAGTATATGGTAGAGTTATTATTGAAAGAATTAAGAGTAAGACAGAGAGTAGGATAGCAGATAAACAAGGAGGCTTTAGGAAAGGTAGGGGGTGTGTGGACCAGGTGTTTACAGTGAAACATATAGGTGAACAGTATTTAGATAAGGATAAAGAGGTTTTTGTGGCATTTATGGATTTGGAAAAGGTGTATGACAGGGTGGATAGAGGGGCAATGTGGCAGTTGTGGGTGTATGGTATAGGAGGTAGGTTACTGAAAGCAGTGAAGAGTTTTTATGAGGATAGTGAGGCTCAGGTTAGAGATGTAGAAAAGAGGGAGATTAAACCATACCACAGGCAGGATTGAACCCATGGTCAGAGAGTCTCAAAACTCCAGACCGTCGCGTTAGCCACTGGACCAGCTAGCCACAATAAGATTCGTCCAACTAGGTATAGTTCTACACCATAGGAAGGTTAGCATAGGCACCACTGTGACCACAAATGCACGTTTTTACAGACGAATCTCCAGCTAGCGTGGCCGTGACGAACTCTAGCTCAAGTCCCCTCAATGCCGTCAACATGACTCACGAAATCGTAATGACATGATTGCAAACAAACCATACCATGGGCGGGATTGAACCCACGGTCAGAGAGTCTCAAAACTCCAGACCAGATAGCCACAATAAGATTCGTCCAACTAGGTATATTTCTACACCATAGGAAGGTTAGCATAGGCACCATTGTGACCTTCCTATGGTGTAGAAATATACCTAGTTGGACTTATACCAAGATTAGAATAAATTTCAATATCAAATATTAACTCCTTGTTGAAGTAAATTTTTGAACTTGTTTCACAGGTAGCTTTGCTGTAGTTTGTCTGATGACGGGAAAACTCGTAGAAGAGTTAGCTACTCTGCCAGACAATGAGAAAGACTCAAGAGTTGATGGCAACTTTACTGAGAGTCTGCCCACCAACCAAACCACCATGCTGACATATACTGGGAGTCTATCCACCAACCACACCACAACACTCATGTATACCGAGAACCTACCCACAACTACTCTGACGTATACCACAACTCTACCCACCAACCACACCCCTGTGCTGACATATACTCCCAGTCAGGTGGCAGCTGTTGTAACTCTCATGAACGGAATTATTGAGGTGGGTCGCAATTTTCATTTTGTGATTATGGTAAAACATAATGTATACTGTACATGTATATGTACATACAGCTGATGAAATTTATTGTGAATCCTAGAATAGACTACATAGCAGACTAATAATAATTTAATAATATTTTATTTGAGCATTATACGATGTTTGTACCTGTGATGAGTGATATTTAGTTGTGCATGCAGAAAACTCATAGTAATACAGAGCATTTTGGGCAAACTTAAACCTAACTTAACCCCTTGACTGTCGCAACCCCCAATCCTGAGGTGTCTCCTGGTGTCGCAAAATTTCAGAAAAAAAAAAATTATTTTTTCTTATGAAATGATAGAGAATCTTTTCCCAATTGTAATGACACCAAAAAAAAAATGAAATTTGATGGAGAGGCACTGTCAAGAAATTTTAATGAAAATAAGAAAAAATTTTGGAGTGAGTTAAACAAGTTAAGAAAGCCTAGGGAAAGTATGGATTTGTCAGTTAAAAACAGAGTAGGGGAGTTAGTAAATAGGGAGATGGAGGTATTAGGTAGATGGTGAGAATATTTTGAGGAACTTTTAAATGTTAAGGAGGAAAGGGAGGTGGTAATTTCATGCACTGGTCAGGGAGGTATACCATCTTTTAAGAGTGAAGAAGAGCAGAATGTAAGTGTGGGGGAGGTACGTGAGGCATTACGTAGAGGTCCAGTTATTCTCAAGTTGGTCCTAGTGGCATTAAAAGAAGAAGGGAAGTAACCCCGGAAAAGGACTTGACACCTCAAGTCTTAATGGAAGGGGATTCCCCTTCTAAACACTAAGACTCTCTCCTCCTCCTATCCCATCAATCATCACCAATCTTCAATAAAGGTAAGTGTCATGTAACTGTGCATGTCTTTTTCAGTTTGTGTGTATTAAAATTAATATTTCATGTGGTAAAAATTTTTTTTTTCATACTTTAGGGTGTCTTTCACGGATTAATTTGATTTCCATTATTTCTTATGGGGAAAATTCATTCGCATAACGATAATTTCGCATAACAATGAGCTCTCAGGAACGGATTAATATCGTTATGCGGGGCGTCCACTGTATTAGTCAGAGGGTGGAAGAGGGGTTGTTGAGGTGGTTTGGTCATTTAGAGAGAATGGATCAAAGTAGAATGACATGGAGAGCATTTAAATCTGTAGGAGAAGGAAGGTGGGGTAGGGATTGTCCTCGAAAAGGTTGGAAGGAAGGGGTAAGGGAGGTTTTGTGGGCGAGGGGCTTGGACTTCCAGCAAGCATGCATGAGCGTGTTCGATAGGAGTGAATGGAGACGAATGGTATTTGGGACTTGACAATCTGTTGGAGTGTGAGCAGGGTAATATTTAGTGAAGGGATTCAGGGAAACCGGTTATTTTTATATAGCCGGACTTGAGTCCTGGAAACGGGAAGTACAATGCCTGCACGCTAAAGGAGGGGTTTTGGGATATTAGCAGTTTGGAGGGATATGTTGTGTATCTTTATACGTATATGCTTCTAAACTGTTGTGTTCTGAGCACCTCTGCAAAAACAGTGATTATGTGTGAGTGAGGTGAAAGTGTTGAATGATCAAAGTATTTTCTTTTTGGGGATTTTCTTTCTTTTTGGGTCACCCTGCCTCTGTGGGAGACGGCCATCTTGTTAAAAAAAAAAATTATAGGTGAGATCATTGTTGAAGGGCATAGCATAAAATTATCGAAACTGGATATTTTTCAGAAAATTAGTCTGATATTAATTTTGAAATTTGTGTTGCAGATATTGCTGGGAGTGTTGCAGCTGGGCAGTCTGTGTGTCTTCCTCTCAGACATGTTGGTGTCTGGCTTCACCACGGGAGCAGCTGTTCACGTCTTCACATCACAAATTAAATACCTTTTTGGTATCAGAGTGCAGAGATACAGCGGCCCATTCAAAATAATATATGTAAAGAATTTTTTTATTTAGTGTGTGTTTGTGTGTGTACTTACCTAATTGTGGTTGCAGGGATGATTCAAAGCTCCTGGCCCTGCCTCTTCACTGGTTGCCACTAGGTCCACTCTCTCCCTGCTCCATGAGCTTTATCATACTTCTTCTTAAAGCTGTATGGTGCCTGCCTCCACTACTTCACTTTCCAGATTCTTCCACTTCCTGACAAGTCTGTGGCTGAAGAAATGCTTCCTAACATCCCTGTGACTCGTCTGAGTCTTCAGCGTCCAATTACTTGTGAGCCCTTGTTGCTGTGACTCATTTTAGGCAAATCTTAGAGATGCCAGAAACAGAGCTCTCTGGACAGATTTTTAGTGTGACAGGGGTCCAGTGCCAGTGAAAGACAAAGAAGGGAAGTAACCCCGGATAGGGCTTTGACACCTGAAGGCCTTATGGAGGGGGATTCCCTTTCTAAACAATAAGTTCTCTTCTCTCTCCCCTCCTCGCCTTCTTCCAGACCACAACAAGAGTCTTCAATAAAGGTATGTAATAGTGATTTAAATGTTCATTTATCCATTTCATTAGTGCTTTATATTTATTTCTCATTGTTTTCTGTATGTAAAACTGCAGTTATTCTTTAAAAAAAATTATTTTTTGTTAATATTTTTGGGTGTCTGGAATGGATTAATTGTATTTACATTATTTCTTATAGGAAATATTACTTCGGTTTTTGTATATTTCGGATTTAGACCGACCTTCTGGAACGAATTTAGTATGAAATCCGGAGTTCCACTGTATTTTAAGGTAAGTAATAAGTATGCTGTATGTGTATTTTATTGCTCTGGGCTGTTTTAAATGTAGAATATATATATGCTCCTCACTTAATAATGGAGTTTGGTTCCTACGACCATGTCGGGAAACAAATTCGCACTAAGCGAGGAACTTTCCCTTACAGATACTTCAATTTATTTATAACACCCATTAAAACATTTTGTTCTGAATAAGAAAAGGTCTAAAGGAAAATCCAACTGGAATCAGAACATGCCACCGACGAATGAATCCCTTTAAATTTTCCCAAGACGACAAAACTGAAAAGATAAGTTGTCAGCTGCTTTTATAATAAAACCCTCAAATTCTAGTGACATAACCCAAGCCCAGTGCAAAAAAACTGCATTTTTTAAAGGGGCCCACGTAAAAGTTTAGGCAAAACAATATATCAAAGAAAATTTGCTAGGAAAAAAAGGTAGTAACCACAAAACAGTGTCCCTCAATAATCATGGGCCCTGAAAGTCGCCATTTCGGAAAAGCCCCATTATTTCATCTAAACTTTGGGCTTGCAAATGGCCCCCGAAACTCGCTAATCGTCCTTCTCCAGGACGCAACTCACGCTCGGCCGCCGGGGCCCTGCCTTCCCACCTGTCCCATTGTTTATCAGTGACGACGGTCCCCTCACATGCCCATAAAATATTTCATAATTTCCTTTGATTTTAGTGCTTGCAATGCAAAAAAGCTCCCATGGCCCCAAAGAAAGTTCTATCCAGCCCCTTTGGGTAAAGAATGTCAGAAACACTAAAATTTTATGAAAAATTTGTAGTAAAATACAAAGGGGTGGTGGTAGAGTGGAAGCAGTTTGATAGTGGTTGGGGTGGTATGATGGGGAAAAGGTGTGTGATGGTGGTAACAGTTGTAATAGGGTAGAAGGCCCCGTAGTGATGGTGGTGGGGGTTTTCCTTCTTTGTGATTCGAAATTTTCTGCCAACTCCCCCAATGTTGTTGAATTATATGGGTTTACAGAAAACACCCCCGCCCGGGCTTCACCCCATTTGGGCGGCTTAACTCTTAGGGGGCCCTTATATACCCAACAAAACACAACACAACCCCTCCGTGACATACATAATGAATTACTTTTTCATTCTAGAGTATATTCCCCTGTTTTTTGTTATTAATATTGTTTTATTATGTCTTTTAGTTGAATTGTGATAATAAATAAGCCGAGATTTGATATTATGCATATTCCCCAAACAATAACTTCCCCATCCCCCCCCTTCACACAAAAAAGTCCCCAAATAAGAACATAAAAAGGAGGAACCTGCAGCACTTTTTGGCCCTATTGGGGCGGTCTTCACAACCCTCCCACTAGAAGATAACAGGGGAAAGGGAACACTGCAGGTCTACTGGCCCAACAAGGAGGTCCTTTTAAAAAATGACCCTCCCCAAAAGCCCCCAAAAATTTACTCCCAAACCCAGGACACAAATAACCCCCACCCCCTCCAACTCAATTTTGCCCAATCCTTTTAAAGCTACCCCAAGGTAGTTTAAGTGTAAATTAAAATAAGAACAAAAACTTAAGAAATAGGAACACGCAACAGGCCTCGGGCCCCATACTAGGCAGGTCCTTCACAAATCCAACCCACTAACAGAACAATGTACCCAAGCAACAAGCCAGGGGAAAGTCCGCTCAAAAACCCCCCTCCCCTTTTGAATTTACCCAAACCAAATTTAAAACTACCGAATGTTTTAGCTTTTCACCCTATAGGCAGACTGTTCCATATCAACCCCCATTACCAATGTTCATTTATCATTTTTATTAGTGCTTTACTTTTATTTTGCTTTTTTCTGATTAAATCTTATTTATGCTAGGGAAGTGACCCCAAAGGACCTAGAGTCCTTATGGGGGGGGACCCCCTTCCAAAAAAAACCTTTTTTCCCTCCTCCTACTCCCTGTCTTCCATTCATCAACAACCCCCTTCATAAAGGTAATGCATTTGAATGTTCATTTTTTTGTGCATGTAAATCTATCATTTAGGTAAAAAAAAATTTGTTGTTGATACTTCTGGGTGTCTGGAACAATTAATTGGATTTAATTATTTTTTGGGGGAAAATTTTTTCGAAAACGCCCTATTTCGATAATAGCCCAATTCCGAAAAGGATTAAGGCATAATTGAGGGCCACTGTTTATGACAGACTTCATTCATATGATAAAAAAGGACTAATTAAATCAGAAATTACAATGAAAAAGGGTGTTTCAACGAAGTCTAACGAAAAAGTCAGTTTAAAAAAAATTTAAAAACGGAAAACAAAATACATCAGTGTTTCACTCGAGATGGGAAAATACTATTTTGGGAAAATTAAACGGGGCAACAATTACCATCTCAAAAACATGATTTCTCTACCTTCCTTAAAAAAGGCATTCGAACAGTTTAGAAAAGGGCCCTTAATAATAATAGGGTTTTTGGCTATTTTAAAGTTACTATTAAAATTTGGGGCATTTTTATTTTTTTTATAGCTAATACCAGCTACCTCAAAATTTTTTACTTTTTTTTTAATTGCTTTTAGTTGCTATAATTTTGGTTTGAAAGTCAATGTTACCCCTAAATTAATGTTATTCAGGTTGTACCTGTCCATTTAATTTTGTTTACCACTTTTATTTTGTCCCTTTTATATTTGTTGAAATTTAGTTATTCCAATTACGTTATTTTGCAACCCCCAAAACATCTTTGCAGCTAGTACCAACTCCCTCATTTTTTTTACTTTTTATAGTGCAATTAAATTGCTCAACTTATATATATTACAAGTAAGTCTTATTCCAAATCAGTATTTTTTTCATAGTGACTTTTGTCCTTTAAAACTTTGTTTTCCATTATTTAAAATTTAGTCCCTTATATATTTTCTCCTTTTTTTTAGCTTTAAAAAACTCCCTTAGTTCATATATTCAAAATTTTGTTAAAATAATCAAGGTGCTTTCTCGGTGCTAAATGTAATAATTTCATATTTTGCTTTTATATTCCCAAGCCCTTTTTTTGTCATCACTTTATTTGTTCACCCCAACTTATATTATCCCTTTTATATTTTTCCTTTATTTAACTTTAAAGAATTACCTTAATTATAATTTACATTTTTTAAAAAAATTAGGTGCTATTACTTTGTCTTATACTTTAATCTAATTATAGATTCACTATAAATCTTAGATTTCAAGCATTGTTTCCCGATACCCAAACCCCTTATTGAATGACTTAAAGAATCAAACAGTAAATGTATCACTACACACAGAAAAATCAAAGGGAACAACAACAACAAAAACAAACAAAGCAAACATTACAATGACCTCATGAAATTACTAAAATTCTGCATGCCCGATGCCACATTACTCTCACCCAAACCTGGCTAAAACCCCATACTACAGATGTCTATCCCTTTTTGGTTACACACCGTCACAAATGTAGGAATCGCAAGGGGTGGCACAGCTATAACACTCAGACCCCCCTAGAATGTTCAATAAACATGCACAAAGGGGTAACTGGGGAAAAGTTAAAGCTAAATTCAAACCCAAAAACTTACAAAAACCCTCACAGTGATAAACATCTACAGAGTTCCACATCAAAAATTAGCCATTTTAGTGAAAACCCAGGAATATGATAACTGATGCACACATGAAAAAAAGGTATTACGCTCTCGGGGACTTTGTGTAAATCCCGCAAACCAACCCCCCATGTTACTGAATTCACAAAACAGAGAACTGTTTTTCTACCAACAGTAACAAAACCTACAAGAATTACAGAGCTAGTGTTTTTCCCTCAACCCACTAGACAAAAAACCCAAACCCCTTTCAAATCAGGCCCAAAACAAATAATACCACAGCCATACCCCACCTTCCTCTAACTAATCTAGGCAAAATTACCCCAGACACTACTAAAGACTTTTAGACTTCACAAGAGGCAGCCATTAATACTTCACAACAGCAGTGAAAACATTTACTGGCCACTGGCTAAAATCTATACGTATTTAAAATGTTTAATAATTTTTTTTAAAAAAAAACCAATACCTCTAAAACAAGCACTGCCCCAAAAAAACTAAACAGATGACACTAAAAGACTGAACTCCTTGGTAACACCCCGGTCCTCAAATCCATAAATACAAAGCAACTATACAATAAACAGTACAGAAAGGGTCCTAACCAGAACCAAAAAAAAACTTACTCATCAACCTAACCAGCCTGATAAGAAGGGGTTTATTTGTAT